TGCTGTGGTTGTATGGTTGTTCTATGGTTGTTCTATGGTTATATGGTTGTTCTATAGTTGTTTTATGGTTGTATGGTTGTTCTATGGTTGTTTTATGGTTGTATGGTTGTTCTATGGTTGTTCTATGGTTCTATGGTTGTTCTATGGTTGTTCTATGGTTGTATGGTTGTTCTATGGTTGTTCTGTGGTTGTTCTATGGTTGTATGGTTGTTATATGGTTGTATGGTTGTTCTATTGTTGTATGGTTGTTTTATGGTTGTATGGTTGTTCTATGGTTGTATGGTTGTTCTATGGTTGTATGGTTGTTCTATGGTTGTTCTATGGTTGTATGGTTGTTCTATGGTTGTTCTATGGTTCTATGGTTGTTTTATGGTTATATGGTTGTTCTATGGTTGTTCTATGGTTGTTCTATGGTTGTTATATGGTTGTTCTATGGTTGTTGTATGGTTGTATGTTGTTCTATGGTTGTATGGTTGTTGTATGGTTGTTTTATGGTTGTATGGTTGTTCTATGGTTGTATGGTTGTTCTATGGTTGTTCTATGGTTGTTTGGTTGTTCTATGGTTGTTCTATGATTGTTCTCCCACTACTCTCTCCTCTTCCATCCTATCATCTCTTCCCTCTGCTCAATCCTTCTCCCTCCAATCTCCTGATTCTGCCTCCTCAACCCTCCTCTCCTCCCTTTCTGCATCCTTTGACTCCATGTGTCCCCTATCCTCCCGGCCGGCTCGGTCCTCCCCTCCAGCTCCGTGGCTTGATGACTCATTGCGAGCTCACAGAACAGAGCTCCGGGCAGCTGAGCGGAAATGGAAGAAAACTAAAACTCCCTGCCGACCTGGCATCTTTTCACTCCTCCTCTCTACATTTTCTTCATCTGTTTCTGCTGCTAAGGCACTTTCTACCACTCTAAATTCCAAGCATCTGCCTCTAACCCTAGGAAGCTCTTTGCCACATTTCTCCTCACTGCTGAATCTCCCCCCCCCCCCCCCCCACCCCCCCCCACCCCCACCCACACCCCCCCCCCCCACCCACCCCCCCCCCCCCCCCCCCCCCCCCTCCTCCCTCTCTGTGGATGACTTCGTCAACCACTTTGAAAAGAAGGTTGACGACATCCGATCCTCGTTTGTTATGTCTAATGACACTGCTGGTCCTGCTCACACTGCCCTACCCTATGCTTTGACTTCTTTCTCCCCTCTCTCTCCAGATAAATCTTGCGACTAGTGACTGCAGGCCGCCCAACAACCTGCCCGCTTGACCCCATCCCCTCCTCTCTTCTCCAGACCATCTCCGGTGACCTTCTCCCCTACCTCACCTCGCTTATCAACTCATCCTTGACCGCTGGCTATGTCCCTTCCGTCTTCAAGAGAGCGAGAGTTGCTCCCCTTCTCAAAAAACCAACACTCGATCCCACTGATGTCAACAACTACAGACCAGTATCCCTTCTTTCTTTCCAAAACTATTGAGCGTGCCGTCTTTAGCCAACTCTCTTGCTATCTCTCTCAGAATGACCTTCTTGATCCAAACCAGTCAGGTTTCAGGACTGGTCATTCAACTGAGACTGCTCTTCTCTGTGTCACGGAGGCTCTCCGCACTGCTAAAGCTAACTCTCTCTCCTCTGCTCTTGTCCTTCTAGACCTGTCTGCTGCCTTTGATACTGTGAACCATCAGATCCTCCTCTCCACCCTCTCCGAGCTGGGCATCTCCGGCGCGGCTCACTCCTGGATTGCGTCCTACCAAGTGGCGTGGCGAGAAGCTGTCTCCGCACCACGTGCTCTCACCACTGGTGTCCCCCAGGGCTCAGTTCTAGGCCATCTCCTTTTCTCCCTATACACCAAGTCACTTGGCTCTGTCATATCCTCACATGGCCTCTCCTATCATTGCTACGCTGACGATACACAACTAATCTTCTCCTTTCCCCCTTCTGATAACCAGGTGGCGAATCGCATCTCTGCATGTCTGGCAGACATATCAGTATGGATGACGGATCACCACCTCAAGCTGAACCCTGGCAAGACGGAGCTGCTCTTCCTCCCGGGGAAGGACTGCCCGTTCCATGATCTCGCCATCACGGTTGACAACTCCGTTGTGTCCTCCCCCAGAGTGCGAAGAGCCTTGGCGTGACCCTGGACAACACCCTGTTGTTCTCCGCTAACATCAAGGCGGTGACCCGATCCTGCAGGTTCATGCTCTACAACATTCGGAGAGTACGACCCTGCCTTACACAGGAAGCGGCACAGGTCCTAATCCAGGCACTTGTCATCTCCCGTCTGGATTACTGCAACTCGCTGTTGGCTGGGCTCCCTGCCTGTGCCATTAAACCCCTACAACTCATCCAGAATGCCGCAGCCCGTCTGGTGTTCAACCTTCCCAAGTTCTCTCACGTCATCCCCCTCCTCCGCACACTCCACTGGCTTCCAGTTGAAGCTCGCATCCGTTACAAGACCATGGTGCTTGCCTATGGAGCAGTGAGGGGAACGGCACCTCCGTACCTTCAGGCTCTGATCAGTCCCTACACCCAAACGAGGGCATTGCGTTCATCCACCTCTGGCCTGCTGGCTCCCCTTCCTCTGCGGAAGCATAGTTCCCGCTCAGCCCAGTCAAAACTGTTCGCTGCTCTGGCACCCCAATGGTGGAACAAGCTCCCTCACGACGCCAGGACAGCGGAGTCACTCACCACCTTCCGGAGACATTTGAAACCCCACCTCTTTAAGGAATACCTGGGATAGGATAAAGTAATCCTTCTACCCCCCCCCCCAAAAAAAAAGTGGTGGGAAGTGTAAAGTGGTTATCCCACTGGCTATAGGGTGAATGCACCAATTTGTAAGTCGCTCTGGATAAGAGCGTCTGCTAAATGACGTAAATGTAAACGTAAATGTAATGGTTGTTCTATGGTTGTTGTTTGGTTGTTCTATGGTTGTTCTATGGTTGTTCTATGGTTGTTTTATGGTTGTATGGTTGTTCTATGGTTGTATGGTTGTTCTATGGTTGTTCTATGGTTGTTTTATGGTTGTATGGTTGTTCTATGGTTGTTGTATGGTTGTTGTATGGTTGTTCTATGGTTGTTTTATGGTTGTATGGTTATTCTATGGTTGTTCTATGGTTATATGGTTGTTCTATGGTTGTTTTATGATTGTATGGTTGTTCTATGGTTGTATGGTTGTTCTATGGTTGTTCTATGGTTGTTTGGTTGTTCTATGGTTGTATGGTTGTTCTATGGTTGTATGGTTGTTTTATGGTTGTATGGTTGTTCTATTGTTGTATGGTTGTTCTATGGTTGTATGGTTGTTCTATGGTTGTTCTATGGTTGTTTTATGGTTGTTCTATGGTTGTTCTATGGTTGTTTTATGGTTGTATGTTGTTCTATGGTTGTATGGTTGTTGTATGGTTGTTCTATGGTTGTTCTATGGTTGTTGTGTTGCGGCAGCAGGCTGTTTACCGGTTTGATGACGCTGTCGGTGCGGTTGGGCAGCCCTGCAATGTACACCTTGGTCTCCAGTTTCCCGTTAACGGACGTAAAGAGACTCTCAGGGCTGTTGATGCTCATCACAGCTTCCTTACTGATCTTAACACTGATACTGGACTCCAGTTCATCTACTGAGATCTACAACATTACACAACAACAACAACAACATTACACAACAACAACAACATTACACAACAACAACAACAACATTACACAACATTACACAACAACAACAACATTACACAACAACAACAACAACATTACATAACAACAACAACAACATTACACAACAACAACAACATTACACAACAACAACAACATTACACAACAATAGCATTACACAACAACAACAACAACACACAACAACAACATTACACAACAACATTACACAACAACAACAGCATTACACAACATCAACAGCATTACACAACAACAACAACATCAACATTACACAACATCAACAGCATTACACAACAACAACAACAACAACATCAACATTACATCACAATAATAAAACATCGCCGGATCTTTCATTTTTTTATGGGTTAGATCAGCTTTAATATTGCAGACAGATTGTGGCTTCTATCAATGTAATTTCCAAACCCCATATATATATATATATATATATATATATATATATATATATATATATATATATATATATATATATATATATATTTGTTTTAAAAATATAAATATTTAAAATAAATATTTTTTGAAATATATTTCCTTTATTATTTTCCCCTAACCCTACCACCCCTCCCCTAATTGGAGCAAACTAATGGACAATAACACTTATGCTTCCACTTCCAGCTTATGCATACTACATACATTTCACAGACAGTATATTTTACATGAGTTATCTTTTGTTTGTTTTTAATCCCATCCTTCAGCTACCCTCAACCCCTCCCATCTATCTCTGAACACCATCCAGTTTTGATTTCTAGCTGCCATATATTTTTCAACTGTGCTGTGATGTTTCACAAAAGTTCTGAACCTTTTGAATTCTCATAGTTTTCTACAGACTGTAAATGAAAGATAAACACATTTTCTAAGAGTATTATTTTATTATTGATTGATTGGCTATGACTTTTCAAATCACCCAGCAGTGTTATTTGCAGAGTTTTCTCCAGGTAAATGTTGCAATTTTTCAGCCATTCCTGAACCTGTGACAAAAGACAAGCTACATATGGGCAGTACCAAAACAAATGATCTAAAACAAATGATCTCTTAGCAGCAAAATCTGAAGAGCTGGGATGGTTGTATCCCCCGTATACAGTGCATTCGGAAAGTATTCAGACCCCTTGACTTTTTCCACATTTTGTTACGTTACAGCCTTATTCTAAAATGGATTAAAAAAAATTAATTAATCATTAATCTACACACAATATCCTATAGTGACAAAGCAAAAACAGGTTTTTTGAAATTTCTGCAAATATATTACAAACCAAAAACAGAAATACCTTATTTTCATAAGTATTCAGACCCTTTGCCATGAGACTCAAAATTGAGCTCAGGTGCATCCTGTTTCCATTGATCATCCTTTAGATGTTTCTACAACTTGATTGGAGTCCACCTGTGGTAAATCCAATTGATTGGACATGATTTGGAAAGGCACACACCTGTCTATGTAAGGTCCCACAGTTGACAGTGCATGTCAGAGCAAAAACCAAGCCATGAGGTTGAAGGAATTGTCCGTAGAGCTCCGAGACAGGATTGTGTCGAGGCACAGATCTGGGGAAGGGTACCAAAAAATGTCTGTAGAATTGAAGGTCCCCAAGATCACAGTGGCCCCCAATTCTTAAATGGAATAAGTTTGGAACCACCAAGACTCTTCCTAGAGCTGGCCGCCCGGCCAAACTGAGCAATCGGGGGTAAAGGTCCTTGGTCAGGGAGGTGACCAAGAACCCGATGGTTACTCTGACAGAGGTCCAGAGTTCCTCTGTGGAGATGGGAGAACCTTCCAGAAGGACAACCATCTCTGCAGCACTCCACCAATCAGGCCTTTATGGTAGAGTGGCCAGACGGAAGCCACTCCTCGGTAAAAGGCACATGACAGCCCGCTTGGAGTTTGCCAAAAGGCACTTAAATGACTCACAGACCATGAGAAACAAGATTCTCTGGTCTGATGAAACCAAGATTGAACTCTTTGGCCTGAATGCCAAGTGTCACGTCTGGAGGAAACCTGGCACCATCCCTACAATGAAGCATGGTGGTGGCAGCATCATGTTGTGGGGATGTTTTTCAGAGGAAGGGACTGGGAGACAAGTCAGTGCAGGACTGGCTTCGGGACAAGTCTCTGAATGTCCTTGAGTGGCCCAGCCAGAGCCTGGACTTTAACCTGATCGAACATCTCTGGAGAGACCTGAAAATAGCTGTGCAGCATCGCTCCCCATCCAACCTGACAGAGCTTGAGAGGATCTGCAGAGAAGAATGGGAGAAACTCCCCAAATACAGGTGTGCCAAGCTTGTAGCGCCATACCCAAGAAGACTCGAGGCTGTAATCGCTGCCAAAGGTGCTTCAACGAAGTACTGAGTAAAGGGTTTGAATACTTATGTAAATGTGATATTTCAGTTTTTGATTTGTTATACATTTGCAAACATTTCTAAAAACCTGTTTTTGCTTTGTAGCTTGTTGAGAAAAAAATATATTTAATCAATTTTAGAGTAAGCCTGTAACGTAACAAAATGTGGAAAAAATCAAGGGGTCTGAATACTTTCAGAATGCACTGTACATAACATTCTATTGGTCGCAATAATTTTGTATAATAGTTAAATTGAAAAACTATTTTTTGAATCCGGCATCGTTTTGTGTATCCGTTCATAAACCATGTGCCTGTCACGGTTTCGGCCGAGTCTGCTCCTCCTCCTTGCTCGGGCAGGCTTCGGCGGTCTTCGTCCCCGGAGTACTAGCTACCACCGTTGTATGTTATCGATGTTTGTTTGGTTTTGTCTTCTTGTACACCTGTTCCCTTTTAGTGTTAATTTTGTATCCTATAAGTTTCTCGTTCGTTAGTCGTGTGTTGTGTGTATTTGTTCCGCCTGTCTTTTGGCGCAGTCTTGTGTTTATTACCGTCGCACAGTTTTCGTGCCCTATTCTTGTCACACCCTGGCTCTGGGGACTCTATATGTTGAGCCAGGGTGTGTAGATTCTATGTGTTTATGTTCTGTGTGGGAGTTTTCTATGTTGGCCAGAGTGGCTCCCAATCAGAGGCAACGAGTGTCAGCTGTTGCTGGTTGTCTCTGATTGGGAGCCATATTTAAACAGTCTGTTTCCCTTAGTGTTTGTGGGATCTTGTTTCCGTTTGGTTTGTTTCCGTGTTAACCGTAGGACTGCACGTTTCGTTTATTGTTATATTATCACTTAAGATAATAAAGTTAAGTATGTTCGCAACCAACGCTGCGCATTGGTCTACTCTCTACGACGATCGTGACAATTCTGTATATTTGGTGTTTTACGCACTGCTGCGTAATCGTTCGCCTCCGGGTTTGGCCCGTGTTGTTATTTTTATCGTCGTCAAAGTAAAGTCTGGTTAGACGAAGCTTCTGTGTCCTGCGCTTGATTCCCACACCACATCCACACCAGCCTCCTGACAGTGCCTTGGAATCGGTACATCGAAAAAATCTCCCCCCCACAACTATTTTGCAGCCTGTACGGCGCATCTGTGATTTTTTTGGTCCTTAAATGAAACTGGTATACTTTTTTTATTTATCACTATTTTCTTTAGCCAATCTTTTGTCTTTAATGCCGACAGACAAGTTCCTTACCTTCTCCCCCTTTCCACTTGCCTCCTCCATTTTGGCGGTAATGCTGCAATCAGTTGGTTGTCATTTTGGATAGAGCAGACATTTCCATATATTTTTGTGACATAACTCCACCAGTCCTATTTATGATATCATTTACAAAGATTATACCATAAAAAAAAAAAAGAAATTCAAAAAATAATGTTTTTTTTGTCAATTAGTATATTTGAGTTTAACCATAATATTTGTTGTAATATTTGTTCTGTCTTTTCTGGTGGATTAAACTGAAATTGCAACCAACTTTCTATGGCTTGTTTTAGAAATAGTGATATTTGGGAGATTATTTCCTTTTCAAATAACTGAAAGTGAGAGGTTGTAATCTGAATAAAGGGAAAAAGGCCATTCTTGAACATGGGGTGAGACAATCTTACTAATTTGCTAGAGAACCAGTTCGGATTTAAGTATAACTTTTGTATGACTGAAGCCTTTAGTCTAATGCTTTAATATTTAATCATTTCTGCCCTCCGAATTCATATTCATTATATAAATACAGTGGGGAGAACAAGTAATCGACAGTGTATCAAATACTTGTTCTCCCCACTGTATATGTCTACATAAATATACACTACCGTTCAAAAGCTTGGGGTCACTTAGACATTTAGTTGAGGACCTGTGAGGCATCTGCTTCTCAAACTAGACACTCTAATGTATTTGACCTCTTGCTCAGTTGTGCACCGGGGCCTCCCACTCCTCTTTCTATTCTGGTCAGAGCCAGTTTGCGCTGTTCTGTGAAGGGAGTAGTACACAGCGTTGTACGAGATCTTCAGTTTCTTGGCAATTTCTCGCATGGAATAGCCTTCATTTCTCAGAACAAGAATAGACTGACGAGTTTCAGAAGAAAGTTTTTTGTTTCTGGTCGTTTTGAGCCTGTAATCGAACCCACAATTGCTGATGCTCCAGATACTCAACTAGTCTCAAGAAGGCCAGTTTTATTGCTTCTTTAATCAGCACAACAGTTTTCAGCTGTGCTAACATCATTGCAAAAAGGGTTTTCTAATGATCAATTAGCCTTTTAAAATGATAAACTTGGATTAGCAAACACAATGTGCCATTGGAACACAGGACTGATGGTTGCTGATAATGGGCCTCTGTACGCCTATGTAGATATTCCATTAAAAATCAGCCGTTTCCAGCTACAATAGCCATTTACAACATTAACAATGTCTACACTGTATTTCTGATCAATTTGATGTTATTATAATGGACAAAAAAATTGCTTTTATTTCGAAAAAAATGACATTTCTAAGTGACCCCAAACTTTTGAACAGTAGTATATATATATATATAACATCACCGCATCTTAACACTGGATCCAGATGGAACCCATCTGGGCAACAAAAAGACAGGCCCTCAGGTTGGGCAAATTACTAAAGACAGGCCCTCAGGTTGGGCAGATTACTAAAGACAGGCCCTCAGGTTGGGCAGATTACTAAAGACAGGCCCTCAGGTTGGGCAGATTACTAAAGACAGGCCCTCAGGTTGGTCAGATTACTAAAGACAGGCCCTCAGGTTGGTCAGATTACTAAAGACAGGCCCTCAGGTTGGGCAAATTACTAAAGACAGGCCCTCAGGTTGGGCAGATTACTAAAGACAGGCCCTCAGGTTGGGCAGATTACTAAAGACAGGCCCTCAGGTTGGGCAGATTACTAAAGACAGGCCCTCAGGTTGGGCAGATTACTAAAGACAGGCCCTCAGGTTGGGCAGATTACTAAATAGAAACAGCTAGTGACGATAAAACCAAATCAGTAATGTAACCCACCCAGGCATCTTACCACATGCCACTGACCATCGTTGATGGCCTTGCCCCCACTGGTGACCTTGAGGGAGTGTTGGTTCTTGAACTGGACCTCGATGCGTCCTTCCCTCAGCCCCAGCATGAACCACGAGTCCTGGGAAGACTCCGCGTAGAGAATCACCCCCTCTGGATCAAACGTACGGAAGTCAAACTCTGCAGCAAACCTGGAGACACGCGGACCAGGCGACATGGACGATTAGGGTACAGCTGTGTACTGAACAGAACTTAGTGTGTGTGTCTGTCTTTAACCCCTTACTTGGTGTTCTCTGGTAGTCTGAAGCGGAGGTATATGACAGGCCCTCCAGTGAACTGTTCTCCCAGGTACAGCATCTCAGCATGCTTGTAGTCATAGAGCTGGACACACACTGGGACCTCCTCACAGGAGCTCCGGTCCTCGGCTAGCCGTAGGCCCCGACGGCCGTCGCAGTGGCAAGAGTAGCTGCCCATCGCGTTCACACACTCACCCCCACACACACCCACCTCACACTCATCCACATCTGGGACAAGGCATGAGTGTCAGGCAGAGAGAGAGAGAGAGAGAGAGAGAGACAGAGAGAGAGAGAGAGAGAGAGAGAGAGAGAGAGAGAGAGAGAGAGAGAGGAGAGAGAGAGAGAGAGAGAGAGAGAGAGAGAGAGAGAGAGAGAGAGAGAGAGAGGGCAGAGGTCATTACAGGAGGTACAGGTCAGGGTTAGGATCAGCTGATACCAAAAACGTTCCCGTTACGCCCTCTTGAATAAAATGAGTGTTAAGTGTCTCCCTCGTGTGGTGAGTGTTGGTACAACATCAGTGGAGCGGCCTCTCACCCAAACAGGAGCGTAAGGTGAAGTTGTATTTGAAGCCCGGGGGACACTGGCACTCATACATGCCAGGGGTGTTGACACATTTAGCTGGTTCCTCGCAGATACTGGGGTACAGCAGACACTCATTGATATCTGGGGAGGGGACACATTTAGCTGGTTCCTCACAGATACTGGGGGTACAGCAGACACTCATTGATATCTGGGGAGGGGACACAGACATCTTGACATCTTCAGTGTGAGTGGGTAATATGGAGGTTTGGTTTGGTCACTAGACAATCACACAGACATTACCACAAGAGGGTGCACAAGCAGAAACAGTCATTGAGACTGAAGCCTGTTTCTGGTAACAGAGATGGTCAATGACCCTGAGGTTTAAACACTCTTATGTAACACTGTACTGGTCAGCCATCTTCCTCTGTTGGTCTAAACTAGAGTCTGGGCCTGCAAATCTAGAGTCTAAACTACATTCTAAACTAGAGTCTGGGCCTGCAAATCTAGAGTCTAAACTACATTCTAGACTAGAGTCTGGGCCTGCAAATCTAGAGTCTAAACTACATTCTAATCTAGATTCTAATCTAGAGTCTAAACTACATTCAGACTAGAGTCTGGGCCTGCAAATCTAGAGTCTAAACTACATTCTAATCTAGATTCTAATCTAGAGTCTAAACTACATTCTAAGACTAGAGTCTGGGCCTGCAATCTAGAGTCTAAACTACATTCTAATCTAGATTCTAATCTAGAGTCTAAACTACATTCTAGACTAGAGTCTGGGGCCTGCAAATCTAGAGTCTAAAACTACATTCTAGACTAGAGTCTGGGCCTGCAAATCTAGAGTCTAAACTACATTCTAGTCAGATTCTAATCTAGAGTCTAAACTACATTCTAGACTAGAGTCTGGGGCCTGCAAATCTAGAGTCTAAACTACATTCTAATCTAGATTCTAATCTAGAGTCTAAACTACATTCTAGACTAGAGTCTGGGCCTGCAAATCTAGAGTCTAAACTACATTCTAGACTAGAGTCTGGGCCTGCAAATCTAGAGTCTAAACTACATTCTAGACTAGAGTCTGGGCCTGCAAATCTAGAGTCTAAACTACATTCTAGACTAGAGTCTGGGCCTGCAAATCTAGAGTCTAAACTACATTCTAATCTAGAGTCTGGGCCTGCAAATCTAGAGTCTAAACTATATTCTAATCTAGATTCTAATCTAGAGTCTAAACTACATTCTAGACTAGAGTCTGGGCCTGCAAATCTAGAGTCTAAACTACATTCTAGTCTAGATTCTAATCTAGAGTCTAAACTACATTCTAGACTAGAGTCTGGGCCTGCAAATCTAGAGTCTAAACTACATTCTAGTCTAGATTCTAATCTAGAGTCTAAACTACATTATAGACTAGAGTCTGGGCCTGCAAATCTAGAGTCTAAACTACATTCTAGACTAGAGTCTGGGCCTGCAAATCTAGAGTCTAAACTACATTCTAGTCTAGATTCTAATCTAGAGTCTAAACTACATTCTAGACTAGAGTCTGGGCCTGCAAATCTAGAGTCTAAACTACATTCTAGTCTAGATTCTAATCTAGAGTCTAAACTACATTATAGACTAGAGTCTGGGCCTGCAAATCTAGAGTCTAAACTACATTCTAGACTAGAGTCTGGGCCTGCAAATCTAGAGTCTAAACTACATTCTAGTCTAGATTCTAATCTAGAGTCTAAACTACATTCTAGACTAGAGTCTGGGCCTGCAAATCTAGAGTCTAAACTATATTCTAATCTAGATTCTAATCTAGAGTCTAAACTACATTCTAGACTAGAGTCTGGGCCTGCAAATCTAGAGTCTAAACTACATTCTAATCTAGATTCTAATCTAGAGTCTAAACTACATTCTAGACTAGAGTCTGGGCCTGCAAATCTAGAGTCTAAACTACATTCTAGTCTAGATTCTAATCTAGAGTCTAAACTACATTCTAGACTAGAGTCTGGGCCTGCAAATCTAGAGTCTAAACTACATTCTAATCTAGATTCTAATCTAGAGTCTAAACTACATTCTAGACTAGAGTCTGGGCCTGCAAATCTAGAGTCTAAACTACATTCTAATCTAGATTCTAATCTAGAGTCTAAACTACATTCTAGACTAGAGTCTGGGCCTGCAAATCTAGAGTCTAAACTACATTATAGTCTAGATTCTAATCTAGAGTCTAAACTACATTCTAGACTAGAGTCTGGGCCTGCAAATCTAGAGTCTAAACTATATTCTAATCTAGAGTCTGGGCCTGCAAATCTAGAGTCTAAACTACATTCTAATCTAGAGTCTGGGCCTGCAAATCTAGAGTCTAAACTATATTCTAAACTACATTCTAGACTAGAGTCTGGGCCTGCAAATCTAGAGTCTAAACTACATTCTAATCTAGATTCTAATCTAGAGTCTAAACTACATTCGAGACTAGAGTCTGGGCCTGCAAATCTAGAGTCTAAACTACATTCTAATCTAGATTCTAATCTAGAGTCTAAACTACATTCTAGACTAGAGTCTGGGCCTGCAAATCTAGAGTCTAAACTACATTCTAATCTAGATTCTAATCTAGAGTCTAAACTACATTCTAGACTAGAGTCTGGGCCTGCAAATCTAGAGTCTAAACTACATTCTAGTCTAGATTCTAATCTAGAGTCTAAACTACATTCGAGACTAGAGTCTGGGCCTGCAAATCTAGAGTCTAAACTACATTCTAATCTAGATTCTAATCTAGAGTCTAAACTACATTCTAGACTAGAGTCTGGGCCTGCAAATCTAGAGTCTAAACTACATTCTAATCTAGATTCTAATCTAGAGTCTAAACTACATTCTAGACTAGAGTCTGGGCCTGCAAATCTAGAGTCTAAACTACATTCTAATCTAGATTCTAATCTAGAGTCTAAACTACATTCTAGACTAGAGTCTGGGCCTGCAAATCTAGAGTCTAAACTACATTCTAGTCTAGATTCTAATCTAGAGTCTAAACTACATTCTAGACTAGAGTCTGGGCCTGCAAATCTAGAGTCTAAACTACATTCTAGACTAGAACTGTTTCCTGTACAGTGGATCTATATAACAGTAACTGTTACCTGTACAGTGGATCTATATAACAGTAACTGTTACCTGTACAGTGGATCTATATAACAGTAACTGTTACCTGTACAGTGGATCTATATAACAGTAACTGTTACCTGTACAGTGGATCTATATAACAGTAACTGTACAGTGGATCTATATAACAGTAACTGTTACCTGTACAGTGGATCTATATAACAGTAACTGTTACCTGTACAGTGGATCTATATAACAGTAACTGTTTCCTGTACAGTGGATCTATATAACAGTAACTGTTTCCTGTACAGTGGATCTATATAACAGTAACTGTTACCTGTACAGTGGATCTATATAACAGTAAATGTACAGTGGATCTATATAACAGTAACTGTTTCCTGTACAGTGGATCTATATAACAGTAACTGTTACCTGTACAGTGGTCTATATAACAGTAACTGTTACCTGTACAGTGGATCTATATAACAGTAACTGTTACCTGTACAGTGGATCTATATAACAGTAAATGTACAGTGGTCTATATAACAGTAACTGTTACCTGTACAGTGGATCTATATAACAGTAACTGTTTCCTGTACAGTGGATCTATATAACAGTAACTGTTTCCTGTACAGTGGATCTATATAACAGTAACTGTTACCTGTACAGTGGATCTATATAACAGTAACTGTACAGTGGATCTATATAACAGTAACTGTTTCCTGTACAGTGGATCTATATAACAGTAACTGTTACCTGTACAGTGGATCTATATAACAGTAACTGTTTCCTGTACAGTGGATCTATATAACAGTAACTGTTACCTGTACAGTGGATCTATATAACAGTTTCCTGTACAGTGGATCTATATAACAGTAACTGTTTCCTGTACAGTGGATCTATATAACAGTAACTGTTTCCTGTACAGTGGATCTATATAACAGTAACTGTTTCCTGTACAGTGGATCTATATAACAGTAACTGTACAGTGGATCTATATAACAGTAACTGTTTCCTGTACAGTGGATCTATATAACAGTAACTGTTTCCTGTACAGTGGATCTATATAACAGTAACTGGTTCCTGTACAGTGGATCTATATAACAGTAACTGTTTCCTGTACAGTGGATCTATATAACAGTAACTGTTTCCTATACAGTGGATCTATATAACAGTAACTGTTTCCTATACAGTGGATCTATATAACAGTAACTGTTACCTGTACAGTGGATCTTGTCATTGGTTCTGAACCGGTACCCGTCATCACACATACAGCGGAAGCTACCGGGGGAGTTGTAACACTTCTGGTTGCATCCGGCTGGGTGATCTGGGTCCGAACACTCGTCGATGTCTGATCAATAAAACAATCAATAACATCATTATTCAATAATAACAAAACATGGATTCATTGACTAGAAACTCGGCTCAATTCCTGTTACTGGGAGGAACTGTGACCTAGTCAGTCAGCAACACCAACGTTACTGGCCAAGCTTTTCGAGTTTCAAGAAAAAAGTGTGTCCTTCGAGCCAGATTGAAACCAGCGACCCAGTATTAAGCCAGGACCCAGTATTAAGCCAGGACCCAGTATTAAGCAGGACCCAGTATTAAGCAGGACCCAGTATTAAGCCAGGACCCAGTATTAAGCAAGGACCCAGTATTAAGCCAGGACCCAGTATTAAGCAGGACCCAGTATTAAGCCAGGACCCAGTATTAAGCAAGGACCCAGTATTAAGCAGGACCCAGTATTAAGCAGGACCCAGTATTAAGCCAGGACCCAGTATTAAGCCAGGACCCAGTATTAAGCCAGGACCCAGAATTAAGCAGGACCCAGTATTAAGCAGGACCAGTATTAAGCAGGACCCAGTATTAAGCCAGGACCCAGTATTAAGCAGGACCCAGTATTAAGCCAGGACCCAGTATTAAGCCAGGACCCAGTATTAAGCAGGACCCAGTATTAAGCAGGACCCAGTATTAAGCCAGGACCCAGTATTAAGCCAGGACCCAGTATTAAGCCAGGACCCAGTATTAAGCCAGGACCCAGTATTAAGCAGGACCCAGTATTAAGCCAGGACCCAGTATTAAGCAGGACCCAGTATTAAGCAGGACCCAGTATTAAGCAGGACCCAGTATTAAACCAGGACCCAGTATTAAGCCAGGACCCAGTATTAAGCCAGGACCCAGTATTAAGCAGGACCCAGTATTAAGCCAGGACCCAGTATTAAGCAGGACCCAGTATTAAGCAGGACCCAGTATTAAGCCAGGACCCAGTATTAAGCAGGACCCAGTATTAAGCCAGGACCAGTATTAAGCAGGAACCAACAGGAAAGATCTGTAGTATGGGGAAACCCTGTCAATACGGTACCCACCATCCTCACAGCGCGGACCCTTCCAGCCTGGTCTACACCGACAGGTGAAGGAGGCCTGTCTAACCCTAACCCCAACCCTAACCCTGTCTATACGGTACCCCACCATCCTCACAGCGCGGACCCTTCCAGCCTGGTCTACACCGACAGGTGAAGGAGGCCTGTCTAACCCTAACCCCAACCCTAACCCTGTCTATACGGTACCCCACCATCCTCACAGCGCGGACCCTTCCAGCCTGGTCTACACCGACAGGTGAAGGAGGCCTGTCTAACCCTAACCCCAACCCTAACCCTGTCTATACGGTACCCCACCATCCTCACAGCGCGGACCCTTCCAGCCTGGTCTACACCGACAGGTGAAGGAGGCCTGTCTAACCCTAACCCCAACCCTAACCCTGTCTATACGGTACCCCACCATCCTCACAGCGCGGACCCTTCCAGCCTGGTCTACACCGACAGGTGAAGGAGGCCTGTCTAACCCTAACCCCAACCCTAACCCTGTCTATACGGTACCCCACCATCCTCACAGCGCGGACCCTTCCAGCCTGGTCTACACCGACAGGTGAAGGAGTCCTGTCTAACCCTAACCCCAACCCTAACCCTGTCTATACGGTACCCCCACCATCCTCACAGCGCGGACCCTTCCAGCCTGGTCTACACCGACAGGTGAAGGAGGCCTGTCTAACCCTAACCCCAACCCTAACCCTGTCTATACGGTACCCACCATCCTCACAGCGCGGACCCTTCCAGCCTGGTCTACACCGACAGGTGAAGGAGGCCTGTCTAACCCTAACCCCAACCCTAACCCTGTCTATACGGTACCCCACCATCCTCACAGCGCGGACCCTTCCAGCCTGGTCTACACCGACAGGTGAAGGAGGCCTGTCTAACCCTAACCCCAACCCTAACCCTGTCTATACGGTACCCCACCATCCTCACAGCGCGGACCCTTCCAGCCTGGTCTACACCGACAGGTGAAGGAGGCCTGTCTAACCCTAACCCCAACCCTAACCCTGTCTATACGGTACCCACCATCCTCACAGCGCGGACCCTTCCAGCCTGGTCTACACCGACAGGTGAAGGAGGCCTTGCCATCGATGCAGCGTTCAGAACCCTCCTTGTAACACGGAAACGGAAGGCACTGGTTACTGATCTCTGCAGAACAACACACAGACACACATATAATATACACAATGTCCAAATATAACATTCACACAACACACATATAACAAAATAGAATCCACACTCTTATAAACTTCAGACCAAAGTCTAGACATACAGGTATCCAGACAGGATATGACTATGCAGAACACATACAGGTATCCAGACAGGATATGACTATACAGAACACATACAGGTATCCAGACAGGACAGAACACATACAGGTATCCAGACAGGACATGACTATACAGAACACATACAGGTATCCAGACAGGACATGACTATACAGAACACATACAGGTATCCAGACAGGACATAACACATACAGGTATCCAGACAGGACATGACTATACAGAACACATACAGGTATCCAGACAGGACATGACTATACAGAACACATACAGGTATCCAGACAGGACATGACTATACAGAACACATACAGGTATCCAGACAGGACATGACTATACAGAACACATACAGGTATCCAGACAGGACAGGACTATACAGAACACATACAGGTATCCAGACAGGACATGACTATACAGAACACATACAGGTATCCAGACAGGACATGACTATACAGAACACATACAGGTATCCAGACAGGACATGACTATACAGAACACATACAGGTATCCAGACAATACATGACTATACAGAACACATACAGGTGTCCAGACAGGACATGACTATACAGAACACATACAGGTATCCAGACAGGACATGACTATACAGAACACATACAGGTATCCAGACAGGACATAACACATACAGGTATCCAGACAGGACATGAATATACAGAACACATACAGGTATCCAGACAGGATATGACTATACAGAACACATACAGGTATCCAGACAGGACATGACTATACAGAACACATACAGGTATCCAGACAGGACATGACTATACAGAACACATACAGGTATCCAGACAGGATATGACTATACAGAACACATACAGGTATCCAGACAGGACATAACACATACAGGTATCCAGACAGGACATGACTATACAGAACACATACAGGTATCCAGACAGGACATGACTATACAGAACACATACAGGTATCCAGACAGGACATAACACATACAGGTATCCAGACAGGATATGACTATACAGAACACATACAGGTATCCAGACAGGACATGACTATACAGAACACATACAGGTATCCAGACAGGACATAACTATACAGAACACATACAAGTATCCAGACAGGACATGACTATACAGAACACATACAGGTATCCAGACAGGACATGACTATACAGAACACATACAGGTATCCAGACAGGATATGACTATACAGAACACATACAGGTATCCAGACAGGACATAACACATACAGGTATCCAGACAGGACATGACTATACAGAACACATACAGGTATCCAGACAGGACATGACTATACAGAACACATACAGGTATCCAGACAGGACATGACTATACAGAACACATACAGGTATCCAGACAGGACATGACTATACAGAACACATACAGGTATCCAGACAGGACATAACACATACAGGTATCCAGACAGGACATGACTATACAGAACACATACAGGTATCCAGACAGGACATTAATATACAGAACACATACAGGTATCCAGACAGGACATGACTATACAGAACACATACAGGTATCCAGACAGGACATGACTATACAGAACACATACAGGTATCCAGACAGGACATGACTATACAGAACACATACAGGTATCCAGACAGGACATAACACATACAGGTATCCAGACAGGACATGAATATACAGAACACATACAGGTATCCAGACAGGACATAACACATACAGGTATCCAGACAGGACATGACTATACAGAACACATACAGGTATCCAGACAGGACATAACACATACAGGTATCCAGACAGGACATGACTATACAGAACACATACAGGTATCCAGACAGGACATGACTATACAGAACACATACAGGTATCCAGACAGGACATGACTATACAGAACACATACAGGTATCCAGACAGGACATGACTATACAGAACACATACAGGTGTCCAGACAGGACATAACTATACAGAACACATACAGGTATCCAGACAGGACATGACTATACAGAACACATACAGGTATCCAGACAGGACATGACTATACAGAACACATACAGGTATCCAGACAGGACATGACTATACAGAACACATACAGGTATCCAGACAGGACATGACTATACAGAACACATACAGGTATCCAGACAGGACATGACTATACAGAACACATACAGGTATCCAGACAGGACATGACTATACAGAACACATACAGGTATCCAGACAGGACATGACTATACAGAACACATACAGGTATCCAGACAGGACATGACTATACAGAACACATACAGGTATCCAGACAGGATATGACTATACAGAACACATACAGGTATCCAGACAGGACATGACTATACAGAACACATACAGGTATCCAGACAGGACATAACACATACAGGTATCCAGACAGGACATGACAATACAGAACACATACAGGTATCCAGACAGGACATAACACATACAGGTATCCAGACAGGACATGAATATACAGAACAAATATGACCAGAAGCACTGCAGCAGATTTCACATTTCAACAACACAACAACCACAAACCAAACAGGCAGACACGTGCCTGGACACCCCCTACCCCTAAACCAGGGTTTCCCAAACTCGGTCCTGGGCCCCCCCCCCCCCTGGGTGCATGTTTTGAATTTTACCCCAGCACTACACAGCTGATTCAAATAGTCAAAGCTTGATGATGAGTTGGTTATTTGAATCAGCTTTTGTAGAGCTAGGACAACAACCAAAACATTCACCCAGGGGGGGGCCCAGGACAGAGTTTGGGAAACCCTGCCCTAAACCAGGGGTGTCAAATACACGGCCCCGCGGGCCAGCACCCTACCCCTAAACCAGGGGTGACAAACATACGGCCCACGGGCCAGCCCATTCAATCCGTCCTGCGTAGCCCTAACCTCTGACCCCAATAACCACCTCTAACCTTAACCAACCTTTGACACAGGTCCTGAGGTCTGAAGGGACGTTGGAATCAGGGTTGTTGATGCCCACACGATGTGAACCCAGACACGCTGAAATATAACACAGTGGAGTTATATTAGCTGACATCAGGACACACTGCAACACAACACAGTGGAGTTATATTAGCTGACATCAGGACACGCTGAAATATAACACAGTGGAGTTAGCTGACATCAGACACGCTGAAATACAACACAGTGGAGTTAGCTGACATCAGGACACGCTGAAATACAACACAGTGGAGTTAGCTGACATCAGACACGCTGAAATACAACACAGTGGAGTTAGCTGACATCAGACACGCTGAAATACAACACAGTGGAGTTAGCTGACATCAGGACACGCTGAAATACAACACAGTGGAGTTAGCTTAGCTGACATCAGGACACACTGCAACACAACACAGTGGAGTTATATTAGCTGACATCAAGACACACTGCAACACAACACAGTGGAGTTATATTAGCTGACATCAAGACACACTGCAATACAACACAGTGGAGTTATATTAGCTGACATCAGTCATTACATCAGGACACACTGCAACACAACACAGTGGAGTTATATTAGCTGACATCAGGACACGCTGAAATATAACACAGTGGAGTTAGCTGACATCAGACACGCTGAAATACAACACAGTGGAGTTAGCTGACATCAGGACACGCTGAAATACAACACAGTGGAGTTAGCTGACATCAGACACGCTGAAATACAACACAGTGGAGTTAGCTGACATCAGACACGCTGAAATACAACACAGTGGAGTTAGCTGACATCAGGACACGCTGAAATACAACACAGTGGAGTTAGCTTAGCTGACATCAGGACACACTGCAACACAACACAGTGGAGTTATATTAGCTGACATCAAGACACACTGCAACACAACACAGTGGAGTTATATTAGCTGACATCAAGACACACTGCAATACAACACAGTGGAGTTATATTAGCTGACATCAGTCATTACATCAGGACACACTGCAACACAACACAGTGGAGTTATATTAGCTGACATCAATACACACTGCAACACAACACAGTGGAGTTATATTAGCTGACATCAGTCATTACCATCAGAACACACTGCAACACAACACAGTGGTGTTATATTAGCTGACATCAGTCATTACCATCAGAACACACTGCAACACAACACAGTGGAGTTATATTAGCTGACATCAGTCATTACCATCAGACACACTGCAACACAACACAGTGGATTTATATTAGCTGACATCAGACACACTGCAACACAACACAGTGGAGTTATATTAGCTGACATCAGTCATTACATCAGAACACACTGCAACACAACACAGTGGAGTTATATTAGCTGACATCAGTCATTACATCAGAACACACTGCAACACAACACAGTGGAGTTATATTAGCTGACATCAGTCATTACCATCAGAACACACTGCAACACAACACAGTGGAGTTATATTAGCTGACATCAGTCATTACCATCAGAACAAACTGCAACACAACACAGTGGAGTTATATTAGCTGACATCAGACACACTGCAACACAACACAGTGGAGTTATATTAGCTGACATCAGTCATTACCATCAGAACACACTGCAACACAACACAGTGGAGTTATATTAGCTGACATCAGACACACTGCAACACAACACAGTGGAGTTATATTAGCTGACATCAGACACACTGCAACACAACACAGTGGAGTTATATTAGCTGACATCAGACACACTGCAACACAACACAGTGGAGTTATATTAGCTGACATCAGTCATTACCATCAGAACAAACTGCAACACAACACAGTGGAGTTATATTAGCTGACATCAGACACACTGCAACACAACACAGTGGAGTTATATTCGCTGACATCAGACACACTGCAACACAACACAGTGGAGTTATATTAGCTGACATCAGTCATTACCATCAGACACACTGCAACACAACACAGTGGAGTTAGCTTACATCAGTCATTACATCAGGACACACTGCAACACAACACAGTGGAGTTATATTAGCTGACATCAGACACACTGCAACACAACACAGTGGAGTTATATTAGCTGACATCAGTCATTACCATCAGACACACTGCAACACAACACAGTGGAGTTATATTAGCTGACATCAGACACACTGCAACACAACACAGTGGAGTTATATTAGCTGACATCAGTCACTACCATCAGACACACTGCAACACAACACAGTGGAGTTATATTAGCTGACATCAGACACACTGCAACACAACACAGTGGAGTTATATTAGCTGACATTAGTCATTACCATCAGAACACACTGCAACACAACACAGTGGTGTTATATTAGCTGACATCAGTCATTACCATCAGAACACACTGCAACACAACACAGTGGAGTTATATTAGCTGACATCAGTCATTACCATCAGACACACTGCAACACAACACAGTGGAGTTATATTAGCTGACATCAGACACACTGCAACACAACACAGTGGAGTTATATTAGCTGACATCAGTCATTACCATCAGACACACTGCAACACAACACAGTGGAGTTATATTAGCTGACATCAGTCATTACCATCAGACACACTGCAACACAACACAGTGGAGTTATATTAGCTGACATCAGTCACTACCATCAGACACACTGCAACACAACACAGTGGAGTTATATTAGCTGACATCAGACACACTGCAACACAACACAGTGGAGTTATATTAGCTGACATTAGTCATTACCATCAGAACACACTGCAACACAACACAGTGGTGTTATATTAGCTGACATCAGTCATTACCATCAGAACACACTGCAACACAACACAGTGGAGTTATATTAGCTGACATCAGTCATTACCATCAGACACACTGCAACACAACACAGTGGAGTTATATTAGCTGACATCAAGACACACTGCAACACAACACAGTGGAGTTATATTAGCTGACATCAGACACGCTGAAATACAACACAGTGGAGTTATATTAGCTGACATCAAGACACACTGCAACAC